CCGAGCTTTAGGTACCATTTTGTAGAGCGAGGATAAACTTAGATTTCTAGTATGGAGCGAATCATCTAACTCTCCTCGTTACTGTACAATTAAGGGCTGTAAAATTACTGTAGGAACTTCGACAAGTATTTTAGACCACTGGAAGCCATATTTTGCTTCGGAACAAAACCAAACAAGCCCCAAACTCTTATGCTATGATAATGGAAGCCCATGATTTCGAATATGGACTTCTATTAAGTTGTCGGATAATTTCTGTTACACTTTTTTCTAAAATATCTAGGAAATTCCAGAAGCATTCTGAAAACCCCAAATCTGCAACACGCTTAGGACATAGCAGGCTCTACCCACCAGCATGATTGATGCCGTAAGTGACTAATGACCAACAAGTTTACGGCAGTTTTGTAAAAGAAGTCAAATTTTTCAGTTTTTGTCTAATCTTTTTCTCTGCGCCTGCTTGCGCTTTTCCTCTCCAGAATTTTTTTAGGATACATTTTGGCACTGGCTCTTACATGGAGGCATTTCGGTGCTTTAAGCGTTTCAAAAACGAAGGGTGAATAAAACATCAAAAAAATTCAAAAACTTCCCTAAATTCTTCTTTTTATGTGCATCGTATAGAAACGAATACAGAAAACATAAAATTGATTTTTTGAAATTTGCTGAAGATGTTTTCTTCGTAAAAATTTCGATGATTGCAAAGATGGCGCACATTGATTTGAACCGCTCAGAAAAACGTGTGCAGACATGTCTGCGTTATCCCCCCTTATAAGCTAAACGCTACAAACTATGTCCTACCTGATTACCACATTGTCCGGTCTATCGCTCATCACTTGAGAGAACGCCAGCTCATTTACAAAAGTGGGAAGAAACGGAATTTCAGCCACAAAGTAAGTGTTTTACGCATGGATCGCGGATGCGACGGTACCGTTGAATAGGCTTTTTGACCCTGCGCATACACCGTGAACATGAGATGTTTCCAAAGCTTCTGAGATTTTTAAGAATTAAAATAAAAAGTGTAACAGAAATTATCCGACAACCTAATACTTTACTTTGATGCTTCTTTCCAAAGTTATCCAGGTAAACCATAATGACCAAATTCCCAGTATTTGTCAGAAATGTGATTACACCGTCAAAAAAAGTGAAAACACTCGTAAAAAGTTGTGTAGTGGATCAGAGTGCGCAAAAACCCTAGTACACAATTTTTCAGATTTTTTGAATTTTTGTCAAATGGCATATTTCACCATGGTTCCATATGCTGGAAGTTCTTACCATAATCCTACAGTAAGAGCGCCCGGTGATTCGAACTGTAAATCTGAGTTGAAGCCTCCTCTACAGAATGGTACTTGACTGGCAGAAAAAGACCCATTGGAATTAGAGATATTGACGATTGAAAAGTGTGTACTTACTTTTAAGACACCCTGTGTTAGATGCTACACGAGAACCGGATCTGAGTTTCGCGATTTATACCGACGTTGTAACTATAAAGAGTAACACAACAGCAAAAAGATGAAGCTTACAGTTACTTTTTCTGAGCTTTCTTGTCAGTAGTTGTTAATCATCTGAAGTAAACATGATAGGTGAAATGAATACCGAGGAAACGAAAGCTCAACATAATGAAAAAAACGCTGCGGATAAGTTAGGCACAAGTTCGACGCAGGATCTCTCGCGCTCGAGTACGATTTCTACAGCCGGCGATGCCCTCGCACAGCCTCACTTCGAGGATTCCCGCGGCTGATGTTGAGGATGCAACCTACAAAATACAATTCTGAGATTTTAAGACGATTTTGAAGCAATTTTGAGACGCAAACATTTACAATGAAAGAAAACTGAAGTTTGTTAGTTTTCAATAGAATGGTTAGGCATTCTATATAAGGCATTTCCTTTCCGGACCATGTGACTTGACATGCGTTCTCAAGAATTTCGATTTGCTACTTCTTTACAAAATTGAGAAACTCTACTAAGTTTGTAATGTTGTGTGGATTTAGCACCTAGGATCCGCAAACTCAAAAAAATGCACTTGCACATTCTTAACGTGCCCTAAATTCTTACTATGCCCTTTTAGCATACTGTTTTCCAGAACTTCTTCCCATTCTTCAGCAGTGAAAAAAACTGTCTTCTTTGTTCCAATTGATACATTCTACAGGTAGAGAGAATTGCCACGTTTAGAATGCCAATAGTAGTTTTCCATCACAACCTAGTGCCTGTCTCTGAGGGAGAAATATTCTTACATTACACTAATCTTTATTTTTATGCAGTGATAAATCTTGTTTTTCCTCCGCACTACTCTACTTTTCTTCTAGTAGACTGATTGACTTGCTGTACAACTTCTTTTCGTAGTTGCTAGTTTTAACCGAGGTGTACACAAATCAAATAGACGAAAGCTCTTGCAATTTTCAAAAGTTTCTTCATTGCAATTATCACATTTTATATGTTAGGGATTGAGTGGAAAATGCGATCAAAGCGGAATTGCTTGTGATACGTGTACGCATATGCTGATCAGGTGTTATTTGCATTAAAATCGCTGAAGAGGGAGAGGAGAGGTATAGTGTGGACCCCGGCCAGGTTCCCATAGGTACTTCCGCGGTGCGCACGCAGCGCACGCCCTTCTTAATGCTTCTCGCCTCACTCATGAGCAATAGAGCACATTTATGCTCACAAAGAAGAAAAATGGAAAGTGGAAACCTCTAGGTTCACTTCGAAAGAGACGCATGCAAGAACTAAACGCAGGCAGCCTCCATGAGTACCTTAAATTTAATCAATGGATGCATATTCCGAACTTGCACTGATGGATAGGTTGTGATAAGTATACGTAGAGAAATTAAAGAACAGCAGCATTCTTAAAACATTTCTCTTCGTAGACTTGGAAACTATAGTAGTCAAAATTTCAAAAAAAAGGACATTTCCGTAAACAAATACCTATTGGCTTCTCGGAAGGCTCAATTTTGACTTGAGACCCTGTCTACACCTTACCTATCAAACCGAAAGGGACTCTTATATTATACAAGACGCTTATGAAGGAATATTATCTTAATATCCAATCAAATCTCAATTTTACAGAGAAAAAAGGGAAAACACAAGACTGCTAGACAAGACTGAAGCTTTTAGAACTACTAGAGCACGTGGAATCTCGTCAGCGGTCATCGCGAGTTGCTTATATCTGAAATAGAGAGAATATAGTACACCAAAAATAAAAAAAAAAGAGAGAAAAGAGGATTTCCATCAGAAGCTAGGACAGGAGACGCACTGAAGGCGTGCGTTGCGGGTGCGTCGCGCAGATACCTATGTGAAGCTGGCCGGGGTCCACACTATATGAGGCCCGCATGCACTAATATCCCTGCTGAGAAGGGGATCGCAGCTCAAAAGAAAGCTTCATATCCTGAAATTTCAAATAGTGGATTTCACTTGTCTACCTATCCGTGAGTATTTCCACCATCCTTTACTATGATCATATTAAACAGGAGCAAGAAGCTGTACAAGCCTCATTTTCCACCTTTGTGTATGATCCCCTGATCATCCAAGGCGGCCGATTGTCTTTTCTTCAATGTGATTTTTCTTCTTTCTTAAAATAAAAACATTCCAAGTGCTGTTCATCTAACCCAACTATACAGGGTGTCCCAAAAAAATGTTAACACTGTTTAATTGTTAATAACTCCCTTGCTTTCATGTTCTTCGCCGAGCTTTAGGTACCATTTTGTAGAGCGAGGATAAACTTAGATTTCTAGTATGGAGCGAATCATCTAACTCTCCTCGTTACTGTACAATTAAGAGAGGAAATTTGACAAGGATTGTAGGCCATTGAAGGCGATTTTCTGTTTCGAAACAGAGCCAAACAAGCCAAAATCTCTTGTACTATGGTGATGAAAGCCGCTCATTTCGGATATAAATTTCCATTTTATTATGATACTTCTTTGCAAAGTCATCCTAGGTAAAGTGTAATAACTGACTTCACAGCATGTGTCAAAAATGTGATCACACCGTCAAAAAAGCTGAAAACACTCGTAAAAAGTTGCGTAGTAAAATCAGCGTGCGCGAAAACCCTAGTACACGATTTTTCAGATTTTTTGAAAAAAATTTTGTCAGAGGGCATACTTCACATTGGTTCCACATGCTGGAAATTCTTACCGTAATCCTACAGTAACCAAGAGAGAACATTGATTCGCTCCATACTGTAAATCTAAGTTGAACCTCACTATACAGAATGGTGCCTCAAGCTCGCCGAAAGACATGAAATCAAGGGAGTTATTAACGATCAAACAGTGTTAACATTTTTTTGGGACACCCTGTATAACCATGTTTCTGATAAGAAGTGATGTTTTGAAGTCATGAGATTTGCGATGAACCAGAAGTCGAAGTTGGATTTTATCGAAAAAATCGATCATTCAAAAACTCATTTGTTCTTATCAGCAGCATGCTTGGCACCGTTGGGTTAGATAAAGTACAACTTTGAAAGTTTTTCGTTAACTTCGAAGAAAAAATCACGTTGAAGAAAAAAACGTTTGGTCGCGGGAGACACCAAGGGATCATGCAAAAAGCTTGAAAATGCTGCTTGTACAGCTTCTTGCTGTTCATTGTGTTTTAGTGAAAGATGGTGGAAATGATACAGATACGAATTTCAGATACAGGGCTCCCGTCCTGGTAAAGCTCCTGCCCAGCTGGCAGTGCACTAATTTGCTTCTGAAGCGAGTAAACCGCTTCAGAAGTGGCGACCGGGACGCCCGACGACCTGCCCCCTTCAATCAATAGCCAGAGTACGTATGCCGTACATAGTCAAGACTTAGGATCCCACCACGACTCTGCGTCTTAACCTCAGCGGCAAGCTTCCATATTCAAAATTAAGTTTCTGGAATAGCCCATTTTCAACATCTCCGCACTCTGTAAGCTGCATTTTCGCAATCAGCGAGAAGAGTAAGCCCAGGTAAGCGAAAAAATTTTGTTCGAAATTTCGCCCGGACGCTGCTTCTAATGAGGTATCAAATTTGGACGGGGAAGGGGAGCAACAAGTAATGGTAAAGGAGGGCCAGATCTCGTCCTTCAACGCTCTGAGATTAGCACGGTTTCTATTCCAAGACCTACGGCTCTCAGCCAGACTGCTTCCGGGTGGCCAACTCGCTGTAAATAATGCGCCGACATATATCTCTATTATGACATAAGTCAGTACGAAATCTGTTCAAGGAACAACATCCCATTTCTCTTGTTAGATCTTCATAGATCTGGAGGTGCGCTACGGTTTTCATTATATCTTTCCACTGCATTTCTCTACTTTATATTGATGAGAGTTCGTTTAGCGCAAAAACTGCACTAAAGAAGCTTATTGGATTTTATTTGAACTTCGGACGCTTTGGAAACCAGGTAAACACGGTAACACGGTTTTCATGACCGTTATGCTTGCTGTATAACTCTCTTTCGAATACAGTTGAGTCTTGCTCTGATGCTCTAGTTATGTCAAAAGTGATGGTTTGCAATCAGAAGCGCGCGATATTTTGTGTTGTGAGCACCTGAAAACTTGATCAAAAGCTGTACTAATTATCAAAAATACATTTGTTCAAGAATTGTTTCTCGTTTACAACCGTTATCGACAAGAGACAGAGGACAGTGGGTTTGCTGCACTGCATAATAAGTAAGTCAAACAACAGTAACCCACCACTTTCAACTTCACGAACTTGGTGCCAATTCCCCGTCTTAGACCTATGTTGGCATTCCTATTCGTGGCAAAAAGGATCTCTGCTTGAAGTATGGTTGAAATTGTAGAACCCTGACCATAGCGCTTAGGTCCACAGGCACCGTCATCACGATTGGTTAACTCTCTGAAAATATTCGAGAAGTGGCGATTTAGTTGAAAAAAAAGGATCAAAGCAGGATTGGCTTTCGCATCTTCTCAACAACCTCGATTTTTTTCTGAACTGCATCTTCAGATATACGAGGTGCAAGCACAGCTTTTAGCCAACATAAATGGCTTTACTATAAACTAACTGATAGTCCCTTGCCAGAAGCCTAAACTTTTTGCCTTTTGAGGGTTGCGGAAGAAGTGATACTTTCATTAATTTGCTTTGAAAAATTCAGTGGAAGCTAACGGGGAGCTCTGGAACACAACACTTTTAGTCAATTTTATGATAAGCAGAAAAGCAAGGGCGGGTGATAGCTTACTGAGAATATCGTGTTTGCTGTACTAAAAACACTAATACTTGTTCCAAATCTCCATATCATGTAAACTTGTCTCCCTATCGCACCTCTGCTAAGAGGTGCGATAGGGAGACAAGTTTACATGATACGGGGATTTGGACACCTCTGCTCAAGTTTCGCAGTAAAAGCTAAAATCAGAAGCAAGAATTCTTGTTGGGAAGGTAAATAGCTAATAACTTGTCTCCCTATCGCACCTCTTAGCAGAGGTGCGATAGGGAGACAAGTTTACATGATATGGGGATTTGGAACAAATATTGGTGTTTTTGGTACAGCAAACATGATATTCTTAGTTAGCTATGATCCGCCCCTGCTTTTCTGCTGATCATAAAATTGACTAAAGTGCTGTGGTCCAGAGCTCCCCGTTAGCTTCCACTGAATTTTTCAGAGCAAACTAATGAAAGTATCACTTCTTCCGCAATCCCTCAAAAGGCAAAAAGTTTAGGGTTCTGGCAAGTTAGTTTGTAGAGCCATCTATATGGGCTGAAAAGCTGTGCTTGCACTTCGTATATCTGAAACTGCAGTTCAGAAGAAAAGTCGAGGTTGTTGAGAGGATGCGAAAGCAAATCCTGCTTTGATCTTTTTCAACTAAAATAGCCACTTCTCAAATATTTTCAGAGAGTTCACCAATCGTGATGAAAGTGCCTGTGGATCTAAGCGCTATGGTCAGGGTTCTACAATTTCAACCATACTTCAAGCAGAGATCCTTTTTGCCACGAATAGGAATGCCAACATACGTCTAAGACGGGGAATTGGCACCAAGTTCGTGAAGTTGAAAGTGGTGGGTTACTGTTGTTTGACTTACTTATTATGCAGTGCAGCAAACTCACTGTCATCTGTCTCTTGTCGATAACGGTTGTAAACAAGAAACAATTCTTGAGCAAATGTATTTTTGATAATTGATACATTTGATCAAGTTTTCAGGTGCAGTTTCACGATACAAAATATTGCGCGCTTCTGCTTGCAAACCATCACTTTTGACGTAATTAGAGCATCAGAGCAAGACTCAACCGTATTCGAAAAAGAGTCATACAAAAACAATGTGAGGCTCCGTTCAGCCTGCCGGAGCTGTGCCGGCGCCGAGTTAGCTCCGGGTCAGCGCCATGCTGTCTCGACGTCATCCCAATCGACGCGGGTAATTTCGCTGAGAATCTTATATATAAAGCTGAATGTCTGTTTGTATGTATGTATGTATGTATGTATGTATGTCTGTATGTCTGTCTGTGTGTACGTATGTTCCGAATAGAAAATTCCATTTCTGAACCGATCCGGACCAAACTTGGCACACATACACTTCGGGCCCCGGCGCGTGTCATAGGCTACTTTTCGTCATCGATCGATATCGATTTTATCGATTTTTATCGATTTTTTTGCGGAGTTCACCTACGGGGCTGGGAGTTGGCAAAGGGGGGTAAGTGAGTATGGGGATTCCGAATACAATATTAGTTTTCAGAATTATCGATTACTTTTATCGATTTTATCGATTTTTTGTAAAGTTTGACCTGCGGGGCTGGGAGTTTGCACAGGGGGGTAGTCGAGCATGCTGATTACGAATACAATATTAGTTTTTGAAAACGTCCATTACTTTTATTGATTTTATCGATTTTTTCGCAAAGTCCAAGCTACGGGAGTGGGAGTTGGCAGAGTGGGGTAACTGAGCATGCTGATTACGGAATGTAGTAGCGGTTCGTGAGAATATCCAATACTTTCTTTTAGAGCCTTGGATTGGAAAGATGTAAGTTGGTACTTGGTCATGCATTCAAGCGAGCTATTCTTTAATTATCATCCTCAATCCTGAATCAAAACATTTCTCCTGTCATCTGGGACTGGATTTCGGTAAGGGATAAGCGAGTGCGCTGATAACAAAACAGCCTCCCTAAAACAATTTGAGTGCTAATGCCAATCAAATGTATTGAAAGAGTACATTGATCATTTAAATTCACAACAATTTTGATTTTTTGGCGAAGTCTGAATTTGAAAATTTTTGGCGTATTCTAAAAAATGTCTTATTTATGAAACACTCTTTTGGATTTCAGGTTCTAATAGATCTAGACAAATTGTTGAGTTTTTGCATGCACACATTGTATATGTGGGTAAACATACAAAAATATTTTGAGAAAAAAACCGTTCTTCCAGGGTTTTTTTAAATTTATTGGGAGGAAATCATGATGGCGTCTTCGAATGAGAAGGAGAAAAATTATTTGAGTAGCACCGCTGGATTGGCCATCAAAAGTTAGCATATACGTATTTTTGACGCAAGGTCCCAGGATGTCTCTGAAACGAGATACAAGCATTTTTGATTTTTCTGTAAAAATTCCGGTTTCACCGAGTGTTGATATATCCGTGCGTTTTCACCGAGTGAACCGCGGGTTCCGCCTCGACTGAGGTGGCCGAATGGCTCACCTCGACGGAGGTGTTGAGCCAGCGGTTCGATTTTTGCTACAACCTCGGTTGTCCGACAGCGGCAACCGATGGTTGTCCTCACAACCGAGTGGTTGTACCTCCGAATGGAGGAGAACAACCGAGTGGTTGTACCTCCGAATGGAGGAGAACAACCGAGTGGTTGTACCTCCGAATGGAGGAGAACAACCGAGTGGTTGTACCTCCGAATGGAGGAGAACAACCGAGTGGTTGTACCTCCGAATGGAGGAGAACAACCGAGTGGTTGTACCTCCGAATGGAGGAGAACAACCGAGTGGTTGTACCTCCGAATGGAGGAGAACAACCGAGTGGTTGTACCTCCGAATGGAGGAGAACAACCGAGTGGTTGTACCTCCGAATGGAGGAGAACAACCGAGTGGTTGTACCTCCGAATGGAGGAGAACAACCGAGTGGTTGTACCTCCGAATGGAGGAGAACAACCGAGTGGTTGTACCTCCGAATGGAGGAGAACAACCGAGTGGTTGTACCTCCGAATGGAGGAGAACAACCGAGTGGTTGTACCTCCGAATGGAGGAGAACAACCGAGTGGTTGTACCTCCGAATGGAGGAGAACAACCGAGTGGTTGTACCTCCGAATGGAGGAGAACAACCGAGTGGTTGTACCTCCGAATGGAGGAGAACAACCGAATGGTTGTACCTCCGAATGGAGGAGAACAACCGAATGGTTGTACCTCCGAATGGAGGAGAACAACCGAGTGGTTGTACCTCCGAATGGAGGAGAACAACCGAGTGGTTGTTCCTCCGAATGGAGACAACCGAGTGGTTGTCCTCAGAGTGAGGCATCCTCCGAGTGCATCCGATGGTTGTCCTTGGAGGCGATGGTTGTCCTCCGAGTGAGCATCCTTCGGGTGGAGGCGTCCTCCGAGTGAGGCATCCGATGGTTGTCCTCCGATTGGAAACATCGGATGGTTGTTCTCCGAGGAGGCATCGGATGGTTGTCCTCCGATTCGAGGCATCGGATGGTTGTCCTCCGAGGAGGCATCCGATGGTTGTCCTCCGAGTGAGGCATCCTTCGGGTGGAGGCGTCCTCCGAGTGAGGCATCCGATGGTTGTCCTCCGATTGGAGGCATCGGATGGTTGTCCTCCAATTGGAGGCATCGGATGGTTGTCCTCCGAGGAGGCATCCGGTGGTTGTCCTCCGAGTGGAGGCATCCTCCGAGTGAGGTATCCGATGATTGTCCTCCGAGTGAGGCATTTAATGGTTGTCCTCCAGGTGAGGCATCTGGTGGATGTCCTCCGAGTGAGCCATCCGATGGTTGTCCTCCGAGTGTGGCAACCGTCCGGCACGAGGCAACCACCGGAAATGACCGGTGCCGCGACGCCTCGCCTTATATACCCCTCCAAGGGGGCGGGGCAAGGGGCGGTCCAAAGTGGGCGGTCCAATTCGTGTGGTTAAGCATAGGCTTTCCATACAAAAACTATCCGCCCCTTCCGAGTTGGTGTGACCAATCACAGCCGGCCCCGCCCCTTTTCAAGGGGTATATAAGGCGGCCGATCTCGCCATTGTCGGTCACTCACCTCTGCTAGCCGGCGGCCACTGAACCACCGAGAGCTCTGAGTACCAAGCGAGGACCGAAGATCTAGGGACCTGAGGACCTGATAAAGGACCTAGGATCTGAGGACCAAGCGACAAAGCCGAAAGGCTCTTTCCTCCTCGAGAACCGAGAAGCCAACGGCTCCACTCGAGTACCGAGAAGCCAACAGGCTCCACCTCGAGCATCGAGAAGCCG